GATTGCAGATCTTAATGCCATTAAATAGTTTTGCCTCAATAAGGACTGATAGATAAGGCTCTAAATATATAAAATATATAAAACAATTTAAAGTCCTTAACTGTAAAATGTATAGAAACATAGTGAAATGCATTAGTTTACTGAAAATATGCATCAGAGAATCATCATTATAAACTGGATCATCATTATAAACTGGGTCCCAGAATAATTCTGAGTTGAAACAAGAAAAAGTACTCCCCCCGCCACCACCCTCCAAAGAGAGCCAAATCAGGGACAGTAAATCTGTCAGAGAAAGGCCAAACTTAAGGATGTCAGAGCCAGCTTCTCCTACCACAGACAATAGGTAAACTCTGACTTTAAGGAAGGCAAGTGTGATCCCAAAACTTAAAGATCATAGGAAAGTAGGGCTGAAAGGGACCTCAGGAGGTCATCTAGTCCAGCCCCTGCTCAAGGAAGTTTCATCTCTGACTACACCATCTCCTCCAATTGTCTGTCTAACCTGCTCTTGAAAATTTCTAAGGATAGAAATTCTACAATTTCACTAGGTAGGTAGGTTGTTCCAATGCTTGACCACCCTCATGTTTAGGAAGTTCTTCCTAATCTCCATCCTAAATTTCCCCAGCTGGAGCTTGAGGTCACTGCTCCTGGTTCTGTCCCCTATGGCCACAGAGAAAAGCCCATCTCCATCCTCTTTATAATTACTCCTGAGGTATTTGAAGACTGTTATCCAACCCCCCTGACATCTTCTTTTCTCCAGACTAAATAACCCTAGCTCTTTCAGGCTTTCCTCATAAATCTTGTCTCCCAGACTCCCAATCATTTGTGTTGCTCTGTAATGGACTCTTTCCAAACTGTCCACATCTTTCTTGAAGTGAAGTGTGGAGCCTAAAAGGGAACACAGTACTCCAGGGGAGGCCTCACCAGTGCTGAATGGGATAGAAGAAAAACATGGGACAGGGGCCTTTCCTTTTCAGAGGGGTGAAGTATTTTTCCTTGCCTCAATTCAGAATTATTCTGGGGCCCAGAATAATCCTGTCCCTGGGAAGAGGGCAGGGATTAATGGCCACTCTTGCCCATGGAGATGGAGGACAAGCTTCTGGCAGGTCTGTAGGCTCCCAGCCCTTTTGATGTCAACTCTGAGGCTCAGTTTTGCCACCCATGCACCTGCAAAGCCAACTATTTACATACCAAATGGCTGTTTGAGCAGAATGAACAGCCTCAATTGCTGCTGATTTTTAAAGCAATCCCCTTCAACCCCTGGCACCCTGGGTGCCCAGCCCCAAGTTCCAACACACCTGGAGAGGAACCACCGGAGGTCTGACTCCAGCCCTACAGCCACACCATGAGCCTATCGCCTCCTTCTGCAAAGTCACTCAATGTGGAGCAAGCAGCCAAGCCTTGTCTGGGACTGGAGAAGGGGCCCACTCAGTGCTGTTGCCTCCAAGGCCTTGACAGGTCCTAGTTCTGCTGTGTCCTACCTCTGGGTCTCAGCGGGTGAGGAGTTGGAAGGGACCTCAGGAGATCATCTAGTCCAATGTTTCTCAACCTGTGGGTCGTAACCCAAAAGTGGGTCATGAAAATATATGAAAGGATTGCGAACAAACTCTAAAAATGGATCAACAAACTTTAAAATGGACTCTCTTTTAAAGAAGAAAAATGTGGGAAACTGTGGCTTTTCCTTTGCAGGCTGAATGAGTTCCTGTCTGAGGGGCTGCTTGGGGCCCCCCTCCTGCACACACTGGGAGTCTGGGGCCTGAGGGCAGGGGACAGCTGGTTGGGAGTGGGGGGCACTGGGTTGGGACTGCCCATCCATGTTTACAAATGGGTCCTGGGTACAAAAAAGGTTGAGAACAACTGATCTAATCCAACCCCCTGCTCAAAGCAGGACCATCCCCAGCTAGATCATCCCAGCCAACGTTTTGTCTAGCCATATCTTAAAAACCTCCAAGGATGAAGAATCTACCATCTCTTGGAAAGACCCTTCACGTCTGAGGGCAGGGTTCAAATTATGGGGGAGCTGGAGGGGAAGAGGCTGGGCCCCACCATGTGAGAGGACAGCCCCCCTGTAAGATTTGAAAATCATAACTTGGGGGTGGGTCTCCGATTTTATTAGGGCATCATGATGGACAGTCCAATTTTTTGGACTAGGTCTGGACCAGTCTAGTTTTATAGAGGACAGTCTGGTTTTCTGGTCCTCTGTCCTCTATTGCTATGAAACCGGTTGGCGCACCCCCTCCCCTGCTGCCAACACCGCTGCGGACACCTAAAGGAGCTCCCCGCTCCCGCCGCCTGTGGGAGCTCGCCGTGACCCCCGAGCCGTGGGAGGCACGTGAGGTTCGTGGTGGTGGGGACAGCTGAGGTACCTCGAGGGCCGCCCTAGGCCAGACACAGGCATGGGCAAACCCGGCACTAGACAGAAAGTGAATGGAATAGATGACAGACCCGATGATCTCATGAGGTCCCTTTCAGCCCCGAATGTCTATGAAATCTATGAAATGGTCATTTTTAAATAATTATGATCATTTCTCTCTGGCGAAGGTGGGGCGCCAGGAGTCTAGGTACGGTGCTGCCCCTCGGAGTTGTAGTGCCACTCAAACCCTGTCTGAGGGGGCATCTGGGGGGATGTGCCCCAGCACAGAGCCACCCGCGGGGCGGGAGGGGAGGCTAGAAACCCTGCTCGATGCGGGGGCAGAAGAGGTGAGCAGGGAGCTGCGGCCTGGGCTCTTTTTACGGAGGGGGGGGCCCCACCTCAGGCCGGGGCAGACCAGAGCAGGGGGTGCCGGAAAGGCCCCTCCCCTCCCCTCCCCTCCTGCCAGGCAGCGCAAGCAGGCGCCGCGCCCCCGCCCTGCACGGGCTTCCCCGCCCGGCCGGCG